TGTCATAAGAGACAAAAAGGATATTATATAAGGGTAAAAATCTATTAGGAAGATACGATAATTATATATATATTTTCACCTAACATCAGAGCTCTCAAATATGTAAAATAAACTTTGACAGAACTGAAGGGAGAAATAGACAGCAGCTCACTAATAGGAAACTTCAATATTCCATTTTCAATAATGGATAGAAAAACTACACAGAAGATCAATAAGGAAACAGAGGACTTGAACAACACAGACCAGTTAGACCTAACTGACATATACGGGACCCTCTACCAAACGATGGCAGAATACACCTTCTTTTCAGATGCACATAGAATATTCTGCAGGATAGATCATATGTTAGGTCACAAAACAAGTACTTAAAACTTTAACAAGATTCAAAGCATGCAAAGTATCTTTTCTGACCAAAATGGAGACAAGACACAATTACTAATATCAGAAATGAAAGCAGAGACATTACTATTACAAAAATCAAAAGAATCACAGAGAAGCAACATGGGACACTCGGAGTGAAGCAGAAGGTAACCGGGTGATATGTTCCAACAAGATCGAAGGGATCTATGGGGAGGCATCTATACACAGGGAAGATTAGGAGGATAGAGTGCTGGGGTGTTGTGCTTACCCCACAGGCACTGTGGCTGAGTTGTGAGAGGGCTCCCTCCACCACCACAGGCCTCTGTCTGGACAGACTGGGGAGCTGTCTAGAGTCTGTGCAGAGCCATTGCACAAGATAGCAGGCACAACAAGGATCTGGTAGCAGCTGATCCTGGGTTTCTGCAGCTGACTTTATCCTGTGCTCTCAGGTGCATGGTGCCAGGTCTGCACTGGACTCAGCTTTGCAGCAGTAGTCTTCACATCACCCCCACCAGTTGGGGGAGGGAGTGGATGGAGTAGAGGCTCCTCCGACCTGTACCACAGCTGTGATTGGAAGCCATGTGCCCCTCCCCTCCAGTGCTGCAGGATCTGAGCAAAGGAGTTGCCTCGGATGCTTCAGGCCCCCACCTGGAAGCTTTCGGAGACTGCTTCAGTAGGACTTAGCAGGGTGGGGAGAACTCCATAGTCCCTGGGCCACTGGAACCAACCTCCACCTGTGTGGCTTGGCATCTGCAGTTCCCGACCCTGCAGAACAGCCTGCCACCTATGCGGACCTGTCTCCATTCCCCAGGTGGAAATAGCCAGCTGCCTGTGAGGCCTTGCCCACACAGCACTGGTTCTGGCTCTGAGGCCCTGCTTTTGGCTTTTTCCCAGTCCCAGCTCTGAGGCTCTCATGCTGGAGCCCAAGGCTCCAACCTTTTGGCCCCAGACCTCCCACCAGGCACCGGACACTGCCTCTGTGATTCCAGAGTTGCACCTGGACACCAAGACCTCACCTCTGATTCTCCACCACTGCTGCAGGGCGAGTGGAACTGCCCCAAGGCCGAATGCCCTGCCAGGGATCCCCCAGCCTTGAGCTGCTATTACACTTGAACCTGGTTCAAGCAAATGCCCACAGCCCAGAAACCCACAGCCACTGCCTAGATAGCTTCACCCAGCTGTCACTGAAACCTGTGTGAGGAAACCCCAGGAAGAGCAATCCCCACAATGCCAGCTTCCATGGAGAGGGTCTCACCCAGCCCCCAACTTGAACTTCCTACAATGGCCTGGGGAGCAACCCAACAACCAGCACAAAGATCATCAAGCAAAGGCTTGAACTGTGGCAATCACAGGAGAACAGGACAAATCAGAACAGCTCAAGGACAAAAAACACAACCCAACTTAAAAATGGAAAAAGGACTTAAATAGACGTTTCTCCAAAGAAGATATACAAATGGACAACAAGCACATGAAAAGATGTTCAAGCATCACTGGTGATTAAGAAAATGCACATCAAAACCACAATAAGATATCCCTTCACATTCACTAGGATGACTTTAACTTTTTAAAAAAAGAAAAATAGCAAGTACTAGTGAGGATGTGAAGCAATAAGAATCCACCATACAATCCAGCAATCCCACTACTGGGTATTTATCCAACGGAAAGGGAATCAATACATCAAAGGGATACCTGCACTTCCATGTTTATTGCAGCATTATTCACAATAGCTAAGCTATGGAATCAACCTAAGTGTCCATCTGTGGATGAATTGATAAAGAAAATGTGTATGTACACAATGGAATACTATTCTGCCATAAAAAGAATGAAATCCCGTCATTTGCAGCAACATGGATGGAACTGGAGGTCATTATGTTAAGTGAAATAAGCCAGGCATGGAAAGACAAATACTGCATGTTCTCACTAATATGTAGGAGTTAAAAAAAAGTTGATCTCATGGAAGTAGAGGATAGAATGAGAATTACCAGAGGCTGGAAAGGAGGTGTGGGTATGGAGGGGGAGATGAAGAGAGATTGGTTAACAGGTACAGACAACATACAGTTAGGTAGAAGGAATAAATTCTACTGTTCAATAGCACAGTAGGTGATTATAGTTAATAATAATTTATTGTATATTTTAAACTAGCTAGAAGAGAAGATCTGAAATGTTCTCAACACAAAGAAATGATAAATGTTTGAGGTGCTGAAAATTCTAAATACCCTGATTTGATCATTACACATTATACACATGCATTAAAATATCAAGCGTGTCCCATAAATATGTAGACTTAGTATGTGTCAATAAAAATAAGTAAATAAATATTTTTTTAAAATGGTGTAGCTACTATAGGAAATGGTATGGTGGTTTCTCAAAAAGCAAACATGGAATTACCATGTGACAAGCAAATCCAATCCTAGGAATATACCCAAGAGAAATGAAAACAAGTGTCCATACAGAAACTTCTACACAGAGGGATATAGCAACATTTTTCATAATAACCAAAAAGTGGAAACAACCCAAATGTCTATCAATGGAAGAATAGATAAATGATGGGGTATATATATTTATACACACACACACAAACACATGTAGTACTGATACATGCTACAACTTGCATGAACCTTAAAAACATTAAGTTTTTACATTAAGTAACTAAAAGAAGCCAGACGCAAAAGGTCACATGTTGTGTGATTTCCTTCAGATAATATACCCAGAGTAGGCAAATTCATACAGACAGAAAGCAGACTAGTAGTTACCAGGGACTGGGGGAGAAGGGAATGGGGAGTAGTTACTTTGCGGGTACAAGGTGTTTTTCTGGGATGATGAAAAAGTTTTGAAACTAGAAAAAGGTGGTGGTTTGAAAAACATTTTGAATATCTTAAATACCACTGAATTGTACACTTTAAAATGGTTAATTTTAGGTTACATGAATTTCACTGAAATTAAAAAAAAAGTGAAAAGGGAATAGAATGGCTTACCTTTCTTTTTCTTCTGGAGATAATGCTCGCCAAACAATTTTATTCAAGCGTCTGTTTAAAAAACAACAACAATAATTTAATAGGAATACTTCATTTCATGGCAAAAGGCTGACCCCAGGCACTGCAGGGGAGCCCAAGGTAAGTGCCATTACCACTGGACCACGCTGCAGTTATCTGCTTAGAGAGACTAGATATGAGTATCTCCTCAGCATCACCGCAGAAGCCTCATGGCTTTGTGGCAATTGTGTCAAATATTAAAGGAGGGCTCAGCTCTCAGCTCAGACAGGTAAAACCAAATCTGATCAAAGGCAAGAGACAAACCATTCCTTTGTATGAAGACATTTCTAAGCTCCCACCATTTTTCTTCCTAAGGAAAACATAACTGTGCTCCTACCTAGTTTGTTTTCTGTAGACATTCTTCTGCCTGGATTCTCAGAGCAAAAGAGGTTAATAAGGTCATAAATAACAGGATTGGGATGCAGTTTAGAGATCAACCAGCCTGACTGTCTTGTTTTCTACACGAGGCTGCTGAGGGGCAGACAGATCAGGCACTTTGCTCACCTACCACTGCTATTTGGCAGCACTGAAACTACAGCTCATCACTGAGTGTATTTTCAGAGAGAAGCTGTCAACCCAAGAGGAGAGAAGGGGATTGGAGCCAATGGTTCCTCCAGGGGAGTTCACTACCCCAAAGCAAGCTTCCTGGACAGCAGAGCTCAGAACATGGGCTCCAACCTTGTGAGCTGATGTTCCATTAAAAAAAATTGCTTCAATAAAATGAGGTGTGAGGACATTACCCCACTCAGAAGGCATTCTTCTAACCACTGGACCCAGCAGCAGTGGGATGGGGCTCTGAGAACACATTTCTGGCAGAGGTGTTATCCTGCCTGCTCTCCCACAACGAACCTGGTGAGACATGGAAAGGCAGTCTGGTGTGGTGGGGTAAGAGGATGGACTCTGGAGTCACAATGCCTGGGCCCAAAGCTCAGTTAGCTTCTCCTCTTCCCAGCCATGAGGGTTTGGGCCTGTACCCAACTTCTTCTGTAAAATGTGAATAAGAGTACCACCCCCCGCCGCCTCAATGAACTAGTGTATATCCAACACAGAGAATTGTGTCTGACACAGGTAAATGTTCTGTTAAGTGATAGAAAAAGAGTCAGGAAGATGGAAATAAGCCAGCTAAGTTCTTCTGTCTCACTTGAAATTTTTGGTTCTTTGGGGTCTATCTGGAAATTGGTTTTCTTTAATCACGTGGTTCATGTAACAATGATCAAGAATGCTAAGACTTGTTAAAAGGATTCATAGTATGCATTTTGGGTTTGTGTGTATGTGTATGTGTGTGTGTGCTTTTCTTAAAAAAAAAACACCTATTCACAATCCTCTTAAATCTAAACTTTGAAAGTGGAGGCAGTGTGGTAGGGAGAGAGACTGGGAGTGTAGATAAGGGCTTTGGAACGACATGGGTCTGGGTCCCAATCTCCATGTTCCCCACTTTGCTGCTGTGTGACCCTGTGTTACACAGCTTTTTGAAACTCTGTTTTCTCAGTGATAATACAAGGATAACATGACTGCCCTTGGCATCCTTGAGAGGATTAAGTGAGATGTATAAATAAAGTGACCAGGAATAATTCAGTGTTTGTTCCCTCCAGGTTCTGAAGAACAAAGCTTAGAAATTCTGAGAACTCATGGGTGAATGTGGATCCAGTTAGCTAGCACATGCCTCTAACTTTAATTCAATCCTTTAGAAAAGACTTTTCCAACAGCACATTTTCAAAACCTCTGTTATTCTCCTATTTTCCATCTTCACTGAAATATTTCAGTGGCTCTACTGAAGCCATTGGCTCTTCAATGCTGGGAGGCAACCATAGGAAAACCACTGTGTTAAGTATGTGTTATGATCCCCATGGATGGGGGAAGGGAACTGGGTGTGAGGGACTCTCTGAGGCCAGCCCAGCCTCTTAATTTGGGTATTTTACTAACAACAGTTTTCCTCTTTGTTGTAGGAGAGTGAAATTTGGTTGAAGGGTTGTATTCGCTAGCTTTCTGTGTCTTTAATTTTCAAATCTACCTGTGCCAAGAATTGACTCATTTGCAAAGCAGCTTGTAACTAATGATACTTCGGAAGTCTGATAAGCACCCAGCCCAGCAAATTGGAAACCATAAGTAGAGGGTTCTAAGCATGGTCCCAGAGCCAGCCTAGAACAGATGCTTCTCCTGTGGGTATGAGAGCTGTGACCTTGACTTTAGACTTGCAATCAAAGTAAGCTGCAGAAAAATCACTCCAGAATCTAGCCAGCCCTGGCAATATTCATTCAAAGCTTATGCTCAGACACACAAAGCCAAAATTACTGCCTCAATTCTTAAAATATTGAAACAGAAGAACTCTCACACATGGGTACTAAGTGTGACCAAAATAACTACGTCATTGTTTTGGCCAAAGGACTGTGAGCTTCCCATTTGCCTAGTCATCTCTAACCATATGGATTTAGGTTACATGAAGGTTACATTTAAGGTTACATCTGGCTTACTTTTGGTGGGAAACTCCTTAGAAATGTTATTTGGGGATGGGGTGCAGGTAAACATTGCATCAATTGCTTTTTATAGTCTACATATCTTGAGAAAGTGGAGCAAAATGGAAAAAGGAATTGACATTTATACCCACAAAAGTCTTAAACACTATTGAATGCAAAAGATTAGGAAGTTTTTTCTATATAATATTCATAACAATCTTGATATTATTAAGTCACTGTGTTAAATAAATCATTGAATAAAAATATCAAATTAACAATACCAAATAATTCAATGATCTTAAATGTTTTTAAAGATATCAGTCACATTAAAATTAATGTTATTAATAATATTAAAACAACATTATTTTTAATAATAATATAGTGACAATATTTCTCTAGAGGGTATTAAAAGGCTTTTCCAGATTCACTCACTGGAAGTAAGAAGTGGGACAAACCACTTACTATGTCTGTGTTTTGGTTTTGCTGCTAAGGAAGAAGGCCTCTCTTCTGCTTGGGAATGGGGGTCCCTGTCCTTCTTGAAACTCCAGGGAAAAGGTCAGCATAGTAGGAAGAGCTGTATGACTGCCACATTCCATATATCTGTAGTCATTTTAGGATTAGCAGATTCAGGAAATGAAAGGGGTAAGTAACATCAATTGCTCTTTATATGTGATCTACATAATCCTCATAACAGTCTTGTGAGATAAGTTCTGTGAATAAGGAATCTGAGGCTTACGATTGTCACACACTTGCCCAGAGTGTTGTCAGAACCAAGAAGGAAACCTCCAAGACCTTTCTGACCTCAAAACTCTAGCTTGTGGCCTTGCACCAGGCTTTTACAGACCATGTAATCACAGAACTCAAATATTTGAATTATTCAAGAAAATCACATTTGAATTTGAATGGTATTATTATATTGCATTTTGAATAACTGAATTTGAAGAATTTTAATAACTGAACTTGAATTATATCAAATTTGAATAGTCAAATACACACACACACACACATACACACACACACACAGAAACAATAGGATCGGGGATGAAGGAGAAAACAAGGCTGGCCAAGTCCCTGGCCTCAGGAGCTGACATCCTAGAGGAGCAGAAATGGTCAGGAGGCCACAGGGCTGTGCAGAAGCCCCAAGTGCTCTGAGGGCCACACAGAGGGTGGGCAGTGGGGGGAACTGCGGAAAGGCCTCTCTGAGGAGGGCCGTTAGCGCTGAGGCAAGAAGGGATGAAAGACCCTGCTGGAGACAGCAGCATAACAGGAGGAGGAGGAGTAAAGCTCGGAGGGAAGCAGATGCCTGCCTGGAAGTCTCAGACCCATGGGCAAAGGTGAGCCTTGACTGGCTCAACCTGCCTCTGAAAGAAAGACGCAGGGCAGGTAAAGACTCAGAGATACATGGAGGAGCCCAGGTAAGACAGCCTTAATTTTCAGGTGAGGGCAATGGAATAGGTTCAGGTGCAGGGGGGTTGGGAGAGGCCTGTGATGGCACAGTAGGGAAAGACCTACCATTGGACAGGACTGTGTGCACCTTGTGGGCAGGAGTCAGACCTTGTATTTGTTTTGAACACACACTAGACACATGGCAAAATGACAAGAGGCCAATAAATGCTGGACTGGGCCACATCGTTAACTTTCATGGACTTTGTTTCATTTCTCCCACCCACATGATAAATAAAAACCCAACTTCCAGAACCAAGAATAGGCTTGCCTGAAGAAGCTGGGTGTGCTCAAAGTTTAAGCACGTGCTGTGCACCAAGGATTAATTAAGTGCTGGGGGCAGGGTGGGGAGGTGATCACAGCATGGGCAAGGATGAAGACTGGGTCATCCGCCTCTGTGAGGAGAGGCTACAGTCTCAGCATGGACACAGGGACTATTTCAGAGCATGGATTTCACTGTAGTCAACTTTATCATCATCTTAAACTTGATATGAAAAATTTTTGAATAATAATATATACTTATATTATCTCCATTATCTCATTACTATGGAGTTTTATTAGTCATTTTACAGAATGTTAGATACTGAAATGATCAAATTCACTCTGTTAAAAGGAAAACTTCAAAGATCTCATGGAAACATGAAATGTCTATAGATTTTGGAAAGGGAAACTGGTTTCTTTAAAGCTCTGCCAAAAATATTCAAGTAAAGTACTTAACGCAGTGCCTGGCACATAGGAAGCCCTGGGTTAGCTGCTGCCACTGCCGATGATATTCCTTATGAACAATTTTTGAATAGCTGATTCAGATAAAAAAAATCTAAGCTAAAACGAGAGAAAAAGCCAAAACAAACAAACACGTTCCACATTCATTAAAGAACAACCAGGAGTAATACTCACTTTTCATAGGACTTAATTGCCTGTTCTACTTTTTGCTTGTAGATATTGAGCTTGACTCCGTGTGGGTTAATGAATGTCATCTTATTTGTGTCGCTGCACACATGTGCCAGAGGGAACACCTACGTGTTAATACCAAAGGAAAGGAAAGTGTCATTTGATAGGTTAACAGGTGCCTTCAAAAACGTATCTGCATAAAAGGAAATGAGCTATCGATCGAGCCATGAAGAGACATGGAGGAAACTGACTTCCATATTACTAAGTGAAAGAAGCTGATCCGAAAAGGTTACATACTATATGATTTCAACTGTCTGAAATTCTGGAAAAGCAAAACTATGGACATAGTAAAAAGACCAATGGTTGCCAGGGGTTGAGGCAGGGAGGGATGAACAGGTGGAGCATAGAGGATGTTTAGGGCAGTGAAACTACTCTGTGTGATACTATAATGGTGGATACATGTCGTTATATAATATGTTTGTTCAAACTCACAGGATGTACAGCACCAAGAGGAACCCTACTGTGCACCCTGGACTCTGGGTGACCATGATGTCTCAGTGTAGGTTCATCAGCTGCAACAAATGCACCACTATAGTGGGGGATGGTGATGGGGGAGGGCTGTGCATATGTGGGGCAGGCAGTACCTTCCTCAGTTTTGCTGTAAACCTAAAACTGCTCTAAAAAATAAAGTTTATTGAAAATGAAAAAAAATGTATCTGCATAGCTGTATAATTTTTTTCGGACTATAAAATCAATATATTATAAATGTAGAAAAATTAGAAAATATAATAAATCATAGAGAAAAAATAAGAATCAGAGATACTATTACTAATCTTTTCTTTCCAAGTTTTAAAACTATATATTTTTAAAATAACCACCAGTGTGCACACACATACACACACAAGCCAGAAAATAATAAAAACCAAAATTGTTTAATAAAACTCTAATCACAATTGGGTATTATCTTCAGAAGCCTCTGTCAAATTGGTAAGAGCAGGCAATAAGAAATAGGATCTCAGTTTTGCTTCTTTACAACTTAGTAGTTGGGTTAACCATCTTTCTTATATACTTATTTTGCATTTTAGTTTTTGAGAATATTTTATTATTGTTAGTATCTTTTGACCATTTTCTTACCAATTTATAAGAGATTCTTATAACATGTCAAACAAAGAAGGCTTAGTGATCAATAAAACCACTTTCTACAAGAGTAGCAGAGCACCAGAAAGAAAGGCTTCTTTTTGATGTTCTTTCTATCTCTACCTGGTGCTTACTTCTGGAGTTTTGGATACCTCCGATTCCATGCCAGGCAATTCCAGGGAGGAAAATGGTAAACTTATTGCTGGTTTGGTGGAACTTTGAATTCTGGTCTCCCTCTCCAGTTCTTTGGGGACCATTTCAATTTCCAAGTTCACTGATAGCTCCTCCATATAGTCTAAGATTTATAGTTGTATTTAATGGGAGAAACAGGGAGAGGTACGCTTACTTCGTCTTCCCTTGTAATCAAACCCACCTTTGTTCTTTTCTTCCTAACTCTCCTTTCATCTTAATAGTACCTGTTATTTTATGTTTATCTATTTGCATATTGCCTATCTCTCTCTAGTAGAATGTCAGCTCCATAAGAGCAGAAACTGTTTTATTCACTACTATATTCCTATCACTTAGAATAGTACTTGACACATAGCATGCCCTCAACAAATATTTGTTGATAAATGAATAAATGAATGCTCACAAAAGATATACCTCATATCTTAATATTTAAACAAAAAAAGAAAAGCATCTAAAAAGAAAATGCTAAGCTATACTATCATTACCTCAAAATTGTATATGATTCTGACCCTAGAACCATATAAGCATTTTGGAAATGTGGAGAATTACTTTTAAGAAGAAAATTTTTGCTTTCAATCAAGATGACATAGTTCATGCTTTTATGTTCCCCCATGTCTCCAAAATCATACAAACATTTTATTGTTGTTATTGAGAATATAATGCAAAGAAAGAAAGAAAGAAAGAAGGAAAGAAAGAAAAAAGAAAGAAGGATGCATGATTGATAAACAGGTTTCTAGAGACAAAGAGCTGAGCAGAAATGTGAAAAAGTGAGGAGGGCTGAAGCTGTGGGCTTGCTGATTCTGGGTCCAAAGATGGCAGGGCAGTGGGAACTCAACTCCTGATAAGCAAGTGGGACTATGAGTGCTCTGTAAAACAACTGAGCTAAATCAGGCTCAATGCCCGACATCAGCACTGGTATGATAGTCTCTTATTCCTGAAAGAAGGTGCTGCCTAAGGAGAGTGGACACTGATGTAGCCTCACAACCAAGAACTAAACCAAGCCATTCTTTGAAACTGTAATATCCACAATATCGCCATGGAACAAGAGGTGTAAAGGGATGGATTTAGGCAACTGCAAAACAGAAGGAGAACGAGAAAAGGCAGATTTTTAAAAAATCTTGTTAAAATGAGCTAACATACTAAAATTTCCAAGTACACACGAAAGTACAATGCCAAAAATAATAACTGAGCAAATCAACAATCAGAATGTCAACTCACATGAGAATAAATTAATTTTATGAGCCATCTCACAATGACTTTAAATTAATTATGATTAAAATTACTTATGATTAGGTTGCTCAAAGATGTAACAGCTATATAAAAGTACAAAAACTTACTGAAGTGCCATAAGAAGAAATGGATGGGATTAAAAAACAATAAAAAAATCTATCTTGGAAAAAATTGTAATTGAAACAAAAAAATCTTAATAGATAGAATAAATTCTAGACTGACACAATCAAAAAAAGAACTGGCAAACTGGGTGATTGTACGGAAGACTTTTCCCAGAATTCAGCACAGAGAGATAAAAAGAATGTGGCTAAAAGATCGTGATGATGATGATGCTGATGGGAAATAGATGGATAAAGAGATTGAGAAGCTTCAATATGTTGATAGAAATTTCAAAAGAATAGAAGAGAACAGAAGGATTGTTAGAGAAGCAACATTTGAAGCTATAATTGTTGAGTTTTCTACAATTTGAAAAAAGTAACTCCTCAGATCAAAAGTCAGCCCACAGCAAAATAGATTAAAAAAAATAAATCCACACATAAACATATTGTAGTAAAACTACAACATATCAAATTTAAAAGAAAATCTTAAAAGAAATCCATGCAAAAAAAACCATATAAAGCAGTAACATATATAACAGATAATAGCTATTTCAACATACACAGATCAATAAATGCAATTCATCACATAAACAAAAGTAAAAACAAAGATTATATGTTTATCTCAATATCAAGCATTTGATAAAATCCAGCACCCCTTTATGATAAAAACCTTAAACAAACTAGGCATATAAGGAACAAACCTAAAAATAATAAAAGCCATATATGACAAATCCATTCCACCATCATACAGAATGGGAAGAAGTTGAAAGTATTCACCCTAAGAGTGGAACAAGACAAGGATGCCCACTGTCACCACTTTTATTCAACATAGTACTGGAAGTCTATGAGTAATCAGGTTAGAGAAAGAAATAAAGGGCATCCAAATTAGAAAAGAAGAGGTCAAAGTATCCCTGTTTGTTGATGATGTGATCTTATTTATACCTAAATAATCCTAAAGATTCCTCCAAAAGATTTCTAGGATTGATAAGTTCAGAAAAGTCATTATGTCAAAAAGACACCTGCACCCAAATATTTATCACAGCACAATTCACTATTGCAAAGATATGGAATCAACCTAAGTGCCCATGAACTGATGAGTAGATAAAGAAAATGTGGTATATATTTACCATGGAATACTAGTCAACCAACAAAAAGGAATGAAATAATGTCTTTTACAGCAACTTGGATGGAACTGGAGACCATTATTCTAAGTGAAGTATCTCAAGAATGGAAAAACAAATGCCACATGTTCTCACGTATAAGTGGGAGCTAAATGATGGGTATATATGGTCATAAAGTGATGTAATGGACATTGGAAACTAAGAAGGGGGGAATAGATAGAGGAGGGCGAGGGATAAACAATTACCTATCTGGTACAATGTATACTATTCTGGTGATGGGTACACTAAAAGCCCTGACTTCAGCATTATATAATTCATCCATGTAACAAAAAAAACACTTGTACCTCCTAAATCTATAGAAATAAACAAATAAAAAGAAGAAAGATAACTTCAAAGTGCTAAGAGAAATTTACTGTCAACAAAGACCTTTATACCCAGCTAAACTCTCTTTCAATAGTAAAGGGAAAACATTTTAGATATACAAAGATACACAACTGAAACTGTTAAAAAATTTATAACTTTTGAAAGTTAAAAAAAGATTACTATGTATGTTCTAAAAGCAAGAGTGAACTCTAAAGCACAATAACAAGATTTTTGGGAGGAAGGGTTTTTAATGACTAGTTAAAAGGTACAAGGTCCCTGATTGTGTTTAGGGGGAGAATAAAAATACAAAATAACTTATGATTTAGAAAATTTTGTTGTGTATGTTAAAACTTTTAAATAATTGCTAAAGGAATAGAAATACTATCTATTGCTTCTAAACAAGCATAGGTGGGGAAAAAGAGGGAAACTAGACAACTTTTTGAGTCTAACAAAAGTCAAGAAAGAAGAACATAAAGAAGCAAAGGAAAATGATTTTCAACAGAAAATAAGAGGTTAGAAATAAGTCCAAATTTATCAGCATTTACAAGAAATGGACATGTACTCAACAGAAAAATACAGCAGGAAAAAATGAATCTAGATAAAATCTCAAAAAATATAACAGTAAACCAAATAGCTTCAGAATGAAGTTTATAATATGATACCATTTGTATAAAGTTTTAAACATGTGTAATAATGTTTAACACTTTTATATTAAGAATATTAAAACATAATGGAAACTCAGGCTGGTGTTTACCTCTGGAGTAGGGAGGGGAAAGGGATCAAAAAGGGTTGCACAGGGGGCTTAAACTTTATCTGAAATGCTTTATTTAGTTTTAAAATGCCTGAAACATAAAAAAATTAGGCTTAAAACTATCAACAGTGTTAATACCTAAAAATTGGGATTTCAGGACAAGTGAAAGGGGTAGGTAGAACTTTTTACTATATTGTTTCATATTTTTTAAAAACTACATATATTCATTTTGTAAT